CTGGGTATGGTAGCACACGCCTGTAGTTCCAGCTACTTGGAAGGCTGAGGCGGAAGGATCACCAGAGCCCAGCAGGTTGACGCTGGGGTTGCCACGTGTGTGCCATTGCACTCCAGCCTGGGCAACGGCATGACGTTACAACTCTAAATAAATAAATAAATAAATAAATAAATAAATAAATTCATGTATGTATTTGCATGTGTTTACTGGGCTTTTCGCATAACATCTCTGGAAATATTCACACTGTAACCTTGTCTGCTCTTGAGAGTTGGGCTGGGTGGCCTGAAGCCAGGCAAGAAGAGGGCATTCTCACCCTCATACCCTCTGCATCTTTTGAATTTTGAACCATGTGCATGAATAACCGAGTAAATAAGATAAAACACAAACTTTAAAGAAATTGTTATCTGGATAGAAGTGTTTTTCCGGGGGTAATGAAAGAGTTTTGAAACTAGAGAGTTTTGAAACTGGTGGTTGCACAATATTGTGAATGCCCTACATGCCACTAAATTGTTCACTTTGAAATGGTTCATTATGTTATGTGAATTTCATCCCAGTAAAAAAAATAAAAAGAGGCCGGGCATGGTGGCTCACATTTGTAATCCTAGCACATTGGGAGACCAAGGTGAGAGGATTGCTTGACGCCAGGAGTTTGAGACCATCCTGAGCCACAGAGTGAGATCTTGTCTTTACCTACCCCCCGCAAAAAAAATAATTAGCAGGACGTAGTGCCTTCTGTAGTGCCCTGCTACTTGGGAGACTGAGGTAGGAATATCACTTGAGCCCAGGAATTCGAGACTGCAGTGAGCTATGATCGTGCCATTGTACTCCAGCCTGGGCTACAGAGCAAGACCTCGTCTCTAAATAAATAAGTGGCATTTGCCAAATGGGCGAACAGAAGCAGGGCCCCTCCAGAAGAAGCTGGAACAGGATCTGAGGTGGGTGGTGTCACTGAACAGGACCCCTACTCTGTCTGAGTCTGTGAGTCCACAAAAGGGTCAGAGTAGGGGGAACCCATGATCCCTATTTATGTCTCCCTTCTGCCTTGGGGTGTGGGGCGGGGTTACAACACAGGCGAAACTGCCCATTCAAATAAACACGTCGGCAGGGTGAGGTTCTTTTGTTGTCTTTTTTTTCATTATTTAAAAAAAATATGTTACAAAACAATATTATTCATCATATATTTCTTGCTTATTTTCTTTTTAAAAAAATTATAAAGTAATAAAAAATCATTTTATAAAATAATACAAAAGGGCATGATTGACGGGGGCTGGGCTGGGGGCTGTCTGAGCTGGTGGCTGAGGAATCCAGTGCTTCTCTTCGGCTGCCTCTCATTGGGGAAGGGTCCCCAGGCCACAGCTGGGGCTAGGCCTCCTGCAGGGAGAGGGGCAAGGAAGACCGTGGGACAAGGAAGACTGTTGGCAGAGCATCCAGACCAAGGTTGGAGGGGACCTGCCGGTGGGGGTTAAGGTGGCACCGGGGCAGCAGGTGGTCCAGCCCCTCAGCACCAGCTCTTCCTCCAGGCAGCCACCCTAGCTTCCGCTGCTCAGCATCCCCAGCAGCTTGCTGGGCTCCAGTCCCTGCTGCTGGGCCACCGTCTGCACGTCGAAACCCATGTGCATGAGGAACTGGGCCACATTCATCTCCTGCCCTGTGAACTGGTCCCGGACGGTGGGGCACGAGGGGTTGCAGTGGGGCCAGGGGCAGCTGTCCACCAGGTGGACGGGGCAGCCCTTCAGGGGGGCCTTGCTGGCCTTGTGGCTGTCGTGGAGGCTCCTGTCCCAGCAGTGCAGCGCTCGGGGCAGTGAGGTCCCCTTCACCTGGACATCTGTCCAGTGGCTGCAGAGGAAAACCAGGTGGGGGTCACGTGGGGAGTGGGATCACCACCACTGGGGAGGGCTGGGTCCTAAATCTCATTGTACAGTGGTTGGAGACTCTGACAACCCTACAGGGAACCCTGTACACAGAGCTGGAGAGGTGGGTGGGAGGACAAGGTTGGGGCAGGAGCCTATGCTGCAGATGAAAGCTGCCCGGGCCTGGGGGCACTGACCTCCGGATGATGATCTCGTGGGAGAGGCAGGCAGGGGCAAAGCTGGCCCTGTTGGGGAGGAGACAGCCACCTGTGAGCTCCCATCCCTCAGTCCCTTCCCACCCCTGCTTCCCAGGAGCTGTCCTCAGCCTGGCCATCACCTCTTCCTGTTGTTGTGACTACCAGTTGCTCTGGCCTGGGCCTTTCTCCTGCCCTCGAGCTCCCTGCTGGCCCTTGTCCCTTTGGGTCTCAAATCCCGAGTCCATCTTTTCCAGGTAGGACCTACCAGGCAGTGGCAGAGGGCTGTCCTGGACAGGCAAATATTTTGCCATCTTGAGACTTTTTTCCAGAGAAAGGGGCTTGCTCTGTCGCCCAGGCTGGAGTGCTGTGGTGCAATCATAGCTCACCGAAGCCTTGAACTCCTGGCCTCAAGTGTTTCTCCCACCTCAGCTTCCTGAGTAGCTGAGACTATAGGCAGGTGCCACCTTGCTCAGCTATTTTTTTTTTTTTTTTTGAGTTGGCGTCTCACTCTGTCACCCAGGCTGGAATGCAGTGGCATGCTCACGGCCACTACAGCCTCGACCTGCTGGGCTCAGGCAATCCTTCTGCCTCAGCCTTCCAAGTAGCTGGAACTACAGATGCACACCACCACGTCTGGCTAACTTTTTGATTTAGCAGAGATGAGGTCTCACCAAGTTGTCCAGGCTGGTCTCGAACCCCTGGGCTCAGGCAATCCTCTTGTTTCCGCCTCCCAAAGTGCTGGGATTACAGGCTTGAGCCACTGCACCCAGCTTACATAATTATTTCTATTGAGTTTTTTGTAGAGATGAGGTCTTGCTATGTTGCCCAGGCTGGTCTCGAACTCCAGGCCTCAAAGTGATCCTCCTTCATCGACCTCCAATGTAGCTGGAATTATAGGCGTGAGCCACTGTCTGGCAGGGTAGCTCACTCTTCACTTAAAATAGAGGTCTCCAGCCTGGGCAACATAGCAAGATCCCATTCTACAAAAAAGTTTAAAAGTGAGCCATCCGGATGGAGTAGGGGCTCCAGGACCCCCACACACTCACGGCACGTCCTTGAGTGTGTTGCGCAGTTCACGGCCGAGGTTCTGGATGTACAGCCACTGGCCCTCCTGCACAGGCTGTCCTGTGAGGTGCACGTTGTCCACAGTCAGCTGGGCCTCATCAAACAGCCACTGCACCACGAACACTGGGCCTGTGGGGGGCTCAGCTCAGCTTGGCTTCTCCTGATCCAGTGCTCTGCCCCACCCCAGACTCAGAGCTGAGCCCCACCCCAGGTCTCCACCAGTCCCTCTGCAGGCTTGCAGGACAGTTGGGCTCAGCTGGGCTGTCCCCAGGGACATCAGCCCCAAGTCCACCAACGTGTGCCCTCCTTTAAAACTTGCCCATACTCAGAGAAAGGCCCTTGTTAGCCCCTCACTGCCTCAGCCTAGTTCTCAGCAATTCTACTTTACCAAAATTTAGTGATGACGTCCCTTGCGTAAGACCTCATCACTCCTCCGTGTGGGGTGGGGAAGGACTGGCTTAAGGCCCACAGCGGAGAGGGACAGTGTGGAGATTCAGCTCCAAAGCTCATCCCTGATCACCAGTGTAGACAGGGTGATCATTCATTCTGGCTTGCCTGGGATCAGGGCTTTCAGTGCTGAAGGCAGGAGACCCCAGGTAGGAGCAGCATCTAGTCACCTCGTGCAGATCTGGCCTCCCTGGGCCAGGGCCATGGTCCCCAGGCCCAGCTCTGAGGGACTGCACCATGATGAGTGTTCAGAAGTGCAGTGAGTGTGGACCTGCGGTTGCCCCCATAAGCCCATCCCCCCACATATCCCCCCCACTCACAGCGCAGAGTTGGGTAGACCTTGTAGCCAAAGAAGCAGTTCCACTCCTCGCCTTCCTGGAACTGGCGCCGGCAGCGCTCTGGGACCACTCCGTTCCAGTACCTGGGACCACAGTGGTGGGTTAGGCTTTGTGGGCCCCGCCCCAGGAGCTCCTCCCTCACAGACACCACCCCTCAGGCCCACATGAGGCAGAGTCCCGGCATGGGTCTCCCTCCTGGGCACCTGATGCCACGGCGGATGGCCTCAGTGGGCGCACAGGTGATGGTATCGATGCAGTCGGTGTGGCGATACTGCTTGTTGTCCAGGAACCAGCCTGAGTCAGCCAGGCCCCGAACCTGGATGGCCGGGTAGCCCAGCTCCTCCAGCTGCTCGGCCACGCGGTCCACGTTCAGCAGGACCCCGGTGCCCCCCGCGCTGCAGGGAGGGCTGGATGTGAGGCTAAGACCCAGTGGCGGCAAGAGGTACTCACCTCCACCCAGTCCCACCCCGAGCCTGCTATGCCCCCAGCCCTTGCCCCAGGAAAGGCAGAGATCCCAACACACTCTGCACTGTGGACATGTTCCCTGTCCATGGGCAAGATCCGTGACCAGGTTCCAGCCCAGGGCTAAAGCTGGCAGGCTGTGCCTCTTCCTCCCACATAGGGAACTGCCCTCTCTCCTTCCTCCTTCCCTTCCTCTCTCCCTCTCTTTGCCTCAGTTTCCATGTATGAAAATGAAGATAAACTGTGTGGCCTCAGGCGTCTTCACCCATTTCTCATATGTCCCCTGGTCCCCTGCATGCCTGCTGGGGTACAGTAACCAACAGATGTGATCCCTGCCTACCCTGGGGAAGCGGCTAACTCCTAACCAACGATCCAGGTCACACAGCATTATCGCCTGATGTCCAGAAGCATTCTCTACACAGCTTCCAGTTACAAAGCACTCTGAAACCAAACTGGAGACATTCCTAACGATGCTAGTTCTCCTGGTCCCAGCCTCTGACCCTCCTGGCCCCCTGCCAAGGCCTAGCAAGGCTAGAGCCACGGATTCCTGTTAGGCCAGAGGACTAGACACCCAGGCTGCACAGGTCCCATCCCTCCTCCCCTCCCAGATACACTCTCCTACCCCAGCCTGGCCCCAGGGTCTGCTCCACACCCCTCCCTGGCTGCCATCCCATACCTCCCCCACACTTATCTCCCCAGCCCTCCCCCCAGCCCCTTCCCCGCTCACCTGCTTCCGGCCAGCAGCAGCACCTTGGCCCCACTCAGCCCTCTGCCCAGGAGTTCCCGCACCACCTCCTGGATGATGAGGGCGCCCATGAAAGCATACTCGTCTGTGTGGGGGAGGGGTGGCTTCAGGTAGGGGCCCGGGCAGGGAAAATGACCTCCCACCCCAAGTTGGCTGGTGGAGGGGTTCTGGCTCTGGCTGGGGCCTGAGAGGTCTTCCTGGGGAGGGGCCAGGGATGGGCCAACTGGAGGGAGGTGGGCTAGGGCACAAGGCCCAGGTAACACTCAGAAATAAGGACCCCCACGGGGTCAGGCTAATCATGGATGAGCAGGCAGTGGGTGCTTGGGGCTGGCACCCTGGGACACACTGTCGTGGGACTGAGAAGGCTACAAGCCTGAGTGTCTGCTCTCCCCCTTCCCCAGAAGCCCTGTTGTCCTGCCCTGTTGTGCCCTAGGAAGGCGGGGACTCACTCTTCTCAGACTTCGATGAAGCCCCACTCCACACATCACTGGAGCAGTAGGGGATGAAGCTGCAACACAGGGACAGTCTGAGCCTGCCACTGGTCTCTGCTGCCCAGAGGCCCCAGGAAGGATGATCTCCAGGGCAAGACCCTCCCCTGAAGGGCCACCCTCCAGATGGGACCATCCCCCCCAGAAAAGACCACCCCCAGGAAGGAACACCTCAGGACAAGACCCCCAGGAAGGGCTACCCCAATGACTCCCTCCAGGAAGCACCATCTGGACCGAACACCCTCAAGAGGGGCCACCCCAGGACAGGAACCCCTCAGCCCAGGAAGGACCCATCCCAAGGGAGAACACCCCGGGAAGGACCACCCCCATTAAGGACCTCCCTCAGGAAGGACCACTTCTAGGACGAGATCCCCACTCCCAAAAGTACTGTTTCCAGAATAGGACCTCCCCAAGAAGAAGACCCCCAGGAAGGATCCCCACAGGTATGGTCCAACAGGCAGGGCCCTCTGCTCCCTCTTACACCATGTTTGCATTCCACCAGTGGGGGTTCTCCTCCGGTTGTGAGGATAGGATTCCCGTGCCTGGGGACACAGAAGTGGGGGTCCTTCTGGTGGGAGGAAACTGTGCAGGGATGGGGACTAGGAGGCCGGTGAGGGAGTGGGGCTACTACTTGACCCCAGCCAGGAAGGTGCACTGCTGACCTGAGCCAAGGATGCCAGGAAACTGGGGGACCACTGGGCTTAGTTACTCCAGGAAGCCACCATGACCGTGATGCCTAGCCAGGTTGTGGCACTGGAGGTGACCCTTGACCTCTCCCACCCTTCCCAGGCTGCCTTAACTGGGGGAGGTCCTGCTGCCATGCTGCCAGAGTAAGCGCCTCAAAGTGATTTGTGGAGTGGAAGCCAAGGGGTGTGAGTGACTCCTCCCTGATCTTAGGACTCTCCTAGAGTTGGGCTGGGGACGGTGTGGTGTGAGGGATACTCAGAGGGCTCGGCTGGGGACGGTGCGTTATGGGGAACACTCAGTGGGCTCAACTGGGGACCTGTGCGGAGGGGGCCTCTCTGGGCTTCCTCGTGGACCCCACGGTGGGGGTCCTGGCCGCAGGTCCCGCCTGCTGACCTGTACGAGTGCGCGGCCAGTCTTTGGAACTCATGAGGCGCCGCATGGTATCGTATCTGGAATCACAGTTCTCCCGGTTGAAGCAGTACCAGCCGCCTGCGGGCACAGCCATCCACTTCAGGGTCGCGCTTCCAGGGGACCCCACCCACCCCGCTGCCCCGTCCCCTGGGACGCACCTTCCAGGAAGAGTAGCCACCGCCGACTACCTTTGGACTCCTTCAGGTA